TTTCTCAGGTGTTTTCTTCATCCAGACCAGATTGGTTCATGTTCCCACATAACACAGGAACTGAGGAGAAGAACGAGAGGAAACAGTTTACACTCTTGAAATGCCCACAGTTGCCTCAGACAACCTGAAGGCCTGTCAAGGCTCAGGGCCACTGTATTTTATAGTCAGATGAAAATGCAGCTTGAAGTTGGGCAGGAAACAAGTGTCATGAGCCCAAACCACAGATTGCATGCCTGCCTTCACCATCCAGCTCACCCAGGGTGGAAATCTGGGAGACACCATTTGGGAGAGCCCACAATGGCTCTTCCAAAGCACAAGCTGTGTTGTCCATGAGCAGAAAGAAGGCAGGATACAAAGAGTGCCAGGATACAAAAGGAGCCTGTATGCATGAGAGCTCTTATCCTGGCAGTGCCTAGGACTCGCAAAATCAGAGCAATGAAGCCCAAAATACATATATATGCAAAACAAGCCACAAACTTTCCACCCTGATGAAAGCACAATGAGGAAAATCTTTCCGACAGATTCACAGCTGGTTTCAATCTACAGCCTAAGCATATCTAATGGGTCGCTTTTATCAGAGAAGCTCTCATAGGGTTCTGGCTGTTACTGAGGGCAGTTTGCCACTGTGCAGACCCCTCAACAAAAGTCTGAGAGGACTCTGTGTACTCCCTACATAAACTGAGGCATGGGGTAATAGAGACCATCTGCTCCAAATTCTGGCCCCACTTGCACCTTTATTAATCCATTCCAGCTCCTAAGATCTTACTCCAGCTAATGTAGCTGCCCATATGACAGTATCAGAAAAATGCAAAATATTCCTCTCAAAAATCTTACTTCTCCTTGTAACGCTTTCAGAAGTAAATTAAGGCTTCTACCCATGTGAATACAAAGCAACACCTGGTCTCAAACTCTCCTGGGTGAACCTCTGGCTTCTCTATCTACGGAAGAATTTTCTCTTAGGAGAAGTTTTAAGAGAACCTACCACACTCAGTAAAAGCAAGACCTTTACTTTCTACAAACTACTAAAAGAGAACAAAGTTCAAAACACTGCATCCATTTATGAAAATTTGTATGCTAAGGACTTGATGAGAAGTTATTGTGGGCATGTCATGCTGTAAGTAAAAAGTACTTCAAATACATATTACTTTATTTTTCCCCCTGTGGTTTACAGATTTGTCCTAGGACAATAGAAGTTTACAGAGAAGGGGGAGATGTCTATGATTAAGGCAGCTTTCAGCTCTTCTTCCTACAGATACCCTGTGGATATTGCTGTATTCTCCAGAATCCAAGCTTCCACTTAAAAAACAATGAAGTTTCTAGCCCATCTGGGTTTGCGGAAGCAGAATGTAAACAGATGTACTGTTGTCTTATTTTAGAAGCTATAGCAAGCCAGACTGAAACAATAGCACTAAGAAATGTCAACTGCTCCCATTCATCTCAGTGGGGTGGGGTGTTAACTTTGAAGCCTAATTGTGACCACTTTAAAGTCAGCCTTTTAACCATTTCACTGTTATTACTACACCAGAAACTCCAAAGTAATGAACTTACCCAGCCTCTGAATTTGTATGCATTACTCCGAGACCTTCCATTCACTTGAAAAGAACACTGTATTACAATCGAGCTAGTTTGAATATTCTCTTACTTAAGAAGTTAGCTGAATTGCTTGCTACTGTCTTTCAAAATAAGGGTTAAAAGAAAGTCATGGGTGAAAGGTTAGCTTCATTGTTGTTGCTCTCCAAAGTGCAACACGTGGGATTTCATGCTTTTTGCTTTGATCAGGGTGCCCGGATGGCAGTTCATTTCAATAAACAGACAAACAGCTACATAAAAAACTAAAAATAATGACTAAACAAATAACACCGCAGCATCGATCAGGAGTAAAGAAACAAAAAAGACATCCTAAGGGATGTGGTAACTTGCAATAATAAAAAAGGAGAAAGAGGAAAAGAATCTTCATTTTCAGGAAGTCATAGCTGCCAGTACTTTAAATCCAAGGTGTATTAGGCCTGGTTCTGAGTATACAGAGAAGCTACCCCTCTAAAGTATTTTACATCCCATTTCCAAGAAGCTGTTGCATTCTTCACCAGGTCACTCTGAAGTGTACATGTGGATTTTCCTCTGGGACCAGCACTTGAAGACTAGTAGCTCTACACACACATTTTTGTAAACATCACTTCAGAGGCTCTGAGAACTCATACTGGAAATTATTAGGGCGAGCTAATATACTCTAGCTTATGTTTCTGAGCATCCAGAATCACGCTGACTTGCGGCTGGAGTCACAGAAGTCACGGTGCTGCAGGGCATGATGGAGATGCCTGGCTGGGTTTGGTGGGGCTGTTGGCCACACACCTGCTGCCTCTGTTCAACCAGCCCTCCACTTCAGGACTGCCCATTGTGTCTGCCACAGCTCATGGGTGACACAGGATGGCTGCAGAGCAATACATGCACTGCATTTATACTTCTACAGTTACGTCTACACTGACAGTCCTTTTCACCTGTCATTTTCTTCCTAATAAAGCAAATGCTAGGCCAAGAAGTCAACACTAACATCACCGCTGCACTACTCTGGTCATCATTAGTACATTCATGTTAAGTAACCTAACTAGGTAATCCTGACATGCCACAAGATGCTTTCATTGCAGCTACAGCCACCAGCTCAGGGGAAGTGAAATAGGAAGGGCAGTACCTCAGCTACATGACAGAGCTATGGGAATAGCATCACCCAGCAAAAGACCTTGAACAAGCAGGTGGGACAGGAGTAACCTCTCTAGGTTATGGAGCAGCAACTGGAAGAAAGTAAAGTGGAAGGATTTGCATAAGCCATACTATATTTATTGAAAGATAACTACTTGAGCACAGAGTCTCACTCCTGAATACAGCTGTCTTTACTTGGGAAGGTCTTGAATTGATATGACTGCCTACGTGTGGTATAGGAATAAGGTTATTTTGGTAGAAGGGGGAAAATTTTCCTGCCTAGGTGTTTATGCAAACAAAGGCCTAATTCAGCCAGTGCAGGTTTTTTGCCTGCTACAACAGACAATACCCTGTCATTGTTATTAGTAAGTTATGAATGAACAATCCTTCCATGTATAAATTCCACTGCTAGCTGGATGTTAGGGTGTTTGTAATTTTCCCAGGTTCCTTAAATCACCAGATACACACCCCTCTGTTATCAAATATCAGTGTTTCCTAAATCTTGATCTTTAAACTGCAACATAGGACTTGTAAAATGCTCTTGACATAAAGCTGAAAATAAACCTCTGCTTTCACTTAAAAGCCAGTGAGCACTGACTTCACACTCAAAAGGCCTGGTATGGAAAGAGAGACAGACACCTTCATTTTCTATTAACTTCAATCAGCTGCAGCGAGGTGCTCGGTTCTCTGCAAAAGGTGCTGAATAAAGTCATATATAAATTCACAGAAGTGTCTGAGTGCTGTTGAATGTGTTTTCTGCAGATGCTTAGAGGTGCAGAACAAAGGCAGCTGAAAACAGACTTGGTAAGTTTACAATTTTACTTTATCACTGTATTAAATTCCCATTCAACATCCATAAGGCACCACACACTTGTTATAGAAAAAATAAACAACTTCATAAAAATTAGACTTGCCAGTCTTTGGTCTGCCATGCATCCCTCTTCTTTATAACTGCTAGCAAGTAAAACAACCCCCTGACAGCTGGATGTGAAGAAGTCTGTGCCGGCAGTGTCCTGGTCCAGAACAGCACTGTAGGCTGGAATGCTGACGCTGGCAGGGCTGCCACTGCGTTTACTTAACACTCATTTCTCTCAGTCTGCTTCAGACCAGAAATGCAGGCAATGAAAACCTATTCAACCTTTGAGAAGCTCAGCCATAGCAGTTTTAGCAGAGCAGGGTTTGTGCAGGTACATGAAAGAGGCATTCAGAAGACATTCCCATTCAAGGGAGGCAGAAAGAGAGCCCCCAGCTGTCTCTGGTTACCTTTTATTGGCATGAAAAGAAGGAGGCAGGAGGGGCAAGGTTTCAGGACAAATGAAAAACAAGCTTTCTAAGATTCACTGTTCAGCCTCAAAACAAAAGCTCAGCGAATTTAAGCTACAGGATCTTAGTTCCATTTCTTTCAGTTTAGTAATTTATTACAGAGAAGAGAATGAAAAACCTGTTTCAAATAGTGGATTAAACATTACCCTGAAACAGAACTACAGAGAAAAAAATATACTGTATGAATTCAGCTAGTTTCTTGGGCAAAAACTATACATTATGAATTCTGCTAGCTTCCTAGACAAATAAAGAGCAAATTGGCAAACACATGAGAAAGTGTACCATGTTAGTAGGTATCCAAGGCTCCTTGGTTAAAAACATTTACATCATGATGAAAGCTGGACAAAACAGCTGTCACAGAAGCATTACAAACTAGAGGCTATAATCTGTAAACACTTGCCACCCAAATTAAAGCAATATCTGTTAAGATGGACAAGAAATGCCTCATTTTAGAGGGCAGGTCCAATGGCTGCAGACAGCCCAGTGCTGCCTTCTAGAGGAAGCAAGCCCAGGGCAACAGGAGGGTGTGGGGGCAGTGGCAGGAGTGTCACTCCCTGGAGCCACGGGCAGCTGGGGTGGAGGAAAGCTGGCTGGCAAACACCCCCACTCCTCAGCCAACAGGGGCAGACAGCCTGCAAAGCCCTGCACTGTCCCAGCCTTGCTGCAAGCCTGAACAAAACCTAGTTTTGTGTCTTGCATGACATGGCAGACTCTTTCTCCAGGCATGGTGGATGCCCAGATTCGTTTTGGGTTTACTGTATTGCGCACCTTAGAAGAGAAGATGGATGAGCCAAAACTTCCTCACAGAAGCTTCCCTTTAGAAAACCCAGCGCCCCCCTTGCGACCACGCGCAGTTTGTACCGCGCAGCCATGCTGCATAAGGGGTATGTAGATGCATACATACGGTATAGGGACCCTGGCACTGCTGCAGGAGCCCTTCCTGCAGGCCATAACACAGCTCCTTACAGCGAAGGTCAGCACACCTGCTCGTGAGGGGTGAAGAGATAAGTGTTAGCACAGCGTCCACGTCCTTTCCATTACACTGGGATGCCACAGAGTTCCTCCTTCACAGGAAATGTAAAGTCTGCAGAGGACAGAAGAGGGGACTGCTGAATTATAGATTTAGTGACCAATAAATACGTTCAACAATTTAACAGATTATGTCAGTTACAAAAAGACAAATAATAACCATAATACCTAGTCATAATACCTAGTATTTACACATTTCTCTATACAAACCTATTGTTTTTCTGTAGAGGTGTACAAATACTACCTGACCAGTCCCTTCTTGATGAACTGCAGAAGTCTTTTAAAGTGTGACCACATGCTCCAAAGTTTGTTGAATTGAATCTAGGCAACAGAAGTTTAGGTGCACTTGTGTAAATACTTTGAGATAACTCAGAGCCCTTTATAAATTTAGGTAGCCTTCATGACATAGGTGGGTCTGTGAGACCTGAAAAAATTATGCATACTAGGTTAGGGACAACTTCAATAGTTTTTCAAAGACTAGTAATTTACATCTAGGCTATAAGTTTTTGCTAATGTTTCAACTTCTTGACGTGTCTCTTAGGTGTAAGCTACCCAGAAAATAAACTGTCTGGTTGAAGCAATGATCTGGATAGCATACTAGCTACCACCTTGATACACAATGAGACAGAAAAACAGGAAGGCTTTATCTGGAATTCATTTGGCAGTACTGTAGAATTTTCTGCAAGGGAAAATACCCAGGTGTTTATGTAATTCCCTAATTCTTTGAAGAGGTGAAATGTATAATTTAGAAAAAGATATTAAAATCACTTAAGAGGAAAATATTTTACTCATTACAAAAAACTTCTTTCATTTGCAGTTGTAGTATAAAGTTACTTGACATTCCTGTAGGTGATATGAGAGAGTAGAAACAATGGTCAAAACTCAGTATCGATACCTGAATATTTAAAAATTGGTGCATAAGGACTTGATTCCTGTCATTTTTCAGGCCATGCTACTGGAGCTGGACATTAAATGTTACAAGAGAATATGATGAGGTGCATCCCTAGAGAAACCTGACTGAAGGCAACAGAAATCATCCCACAAATGTGAATACGATTTGGCCAAAACCTGGGGCTCAGTCTTGTTATAAGCACACTGAAGGAGAAAAGGTCAGAAGCAGCAGGATTTTAATCTCTTAGGCTCAACAGCAGGATTCATAATTTTGTCTCAGATCTTTCACAAACCAAATACATTTTGGACACCACATTAGAGATAAATAAATCAGTATTAGTCTTACTTTGCTAAAAAGAACATTTACTGACAGCATCTCTTCATCCCTTCTTAGATTTTATGTTGGTGGCAAATCCTGCAGGTGGGAGAGTAAATACAGCAGACATCTGCTAAACATAATGCAGTTGTATTCTGTTATTAAAACTGTGCTCTTTCTAGTGTTCTTCATGGCATTCATTTTCTATGTAACATTCTGCTTTACTAGTATCTCAATATGTCCCTAATCAATTTTTGATCCTGGTCATCTTTGCCCACCTGACTCCACATTTGCAGAGTCCTTTTAGCACTTAACTGGGCAAGTTACACTTTTCTTTCTATTCTTTTTATCTTTTATCCCTTTTACTCTACTATATATATATATCCCTTTTAACTATAACGGGCAATTGTATGTCGGTCCCTTGTAGAGAATGGACACTGCCCCTGCACCTGAGCTCCCACCCACATATCCAACATTGGCAGAGTGTTTAGGAGATTCCTCCGGTTCACATTTCTGTTACTGTGCCAAGTTCAGTTCTGTCATGTGCTACTCAGCTCCTCCTGTTTTCTCCTTGATCGCGTGCTCTTCCCTTCTGCTGCTCAACTGCCCCACCTTCCAGAGTTAAAAAAGGAGCTGCTCACACTGGACATGGCCAGAGCCTGTCCAGAGTGAGCCCCAAGTCTGGTCCCACACTACCACAATATTGTTAGCACTAACTTGGAAGTCTTACCCATTCCTGGGGAAAGCCTACTGCTCACGTAACACATCGGCTCAGCAGAGAAGTAGCAGTCTTTGAAGGGATTTAGCTGTGTTCAAAATGAAATATTTTTCCCATTTATACAATGAGTAGCTGCACCCCTGTTTTAACATCCCTGCTAGCCAGGTCAGAAAATAAAACAGAAAGCTTTCCAGGAGCAGCTTTCAACAAAAATAACAAAACAGACTTGGGAGGTTCAAAGCCGCACAGGAAGACCCGTCCTTTTCAAAAACTGGAATAATGAAGAAGAACAATCCTGGTGACAATATTATTTGCTAGTGAACAGATCCAAGCTCTGTGAGTCTTGCAACATGTAGTAGTAAATGCAAGAAATTGCAGCATCTGACTTGCAGAAAACACTAACCGAAAAACTTAGTACTAAATATGATTAGAAAACGCTAAAGATTTTGAAAGCTTTGCTTCAGATATCACCATCATTCACTAGTGATTGCACAGGAAATTCACATGACAAGCTTGTTAGGTTTTATAAGCTGGTTCCAAATGAACTGTAATAAAATGTCAAGAAAAAGTTTGACATAATGAAATAAAGCAAGTTATCATATGTCACACCGATATACAGCAGTATTTACCTACCATGAGATAGATGGTATTTAGGGAAGCTTTGGCAAATATTTTACTGACTCACTTCTTCATGGCATTTCTGTCAGAAAGTCCCTGAAAAGGAGACTATAGACATACTTTAGAGGAGTGTGCAAGTATAGTTGCAATAGAGGTACTGAAATAGATATTAATGAGCAAGATTAATGAAAATTTAGATATTATCTGTTGTTTAGCCAAAGTTTCCTTTGGTTTAGAAACTAGGTTTATGAAAAACTTGTACTATCTGTCAAACTAGGCATAACCACCAAATTCTCTCACTCCATCTTGACTCCTTCTCTTTTCCTGTACTTCAATGCTAGGTTGTACATGAATAGAAAGTTATTACTATATTTTTACAATTCTTGGAAAATGTCCCAGTTTGAGGAAATCCTTTTATCCAGACACACTTACTCAGCATCACTACAATCCAGTATAAATGCGCTACTTGCACTTTAAGCTGCTGCCACTGCCTCACAAAGCAGAATGAAATTTTATACCCAGCTTTGACTCCTATGAAGTAAACATGAGTTTCACAAAAAATTCCCTTCCTACCACTGAGCAAGAATGGCCTATGAAATTCATACTGCACAGAACCAGAACAAAACACTTTGGAGGAGGAAGCCACAGTTACACCATAATTATTTGATGCTGCAGGGGGAAGAAGGCATAACTTAACTTGTTCAAAGCACTTGGACTGACCACCTTATTCTTATCACTTATCCCATGTAACAGACCTCATCCAATTGATCTTTATTAGGATAAGTAACTCTGATGACCTCTGGGTCATTAAAGGGTTTTTCCCTTCTATCTATCATTATACAGACTGAGGATTACAAAGTTTTATGAAGTCCTTGGGAAGGGGTTTTCCTTACAAACTTTAAAAAAAAAAAAAGTATTTCATCATTCAAAGAAGCTGCAGAGAACTTTCATGAAGGTATTTGTCTACTTTCCACAGCTGAAGCTTTTTATTTTCTGTAAGGTAATACAAGCAAAATCAATGTCTGGAAAAACACCTGAAAACATTATGAATAGAATCATGGAATAATAGAATAACTGAGTTCAAAGGAACCCATCAGGATAATTGATTCAAATTCCTGGCCCTGCACAGGACACCCCAAGAATCCCACTATGTGTCTGGTATCTTAGAGTATTGTCCAAGCACTTCTTGAGCTCTGTCAGGCTTGGGGCTGTGACCACTTCCCTGGGGAGCCTTCTCCAACGCTCTGAGTAAAATTTTTTTTACTGATATCCAACCTAAACCTCCCCTGACGCAACTTTGTGCCATTTCCTTGAGTCCTGTCACTGGTCACCACAGAACAGAGATCAGTGTCTGCCCCTCCTCTTCCCCTCACAAGGAAATTGTAACTGCAATGAGGTCTCCCCTCAGTCTTCCCCAGGCTGAACAGACCAAGTGACCTCAACCACTCCACCTATGGCTCCCACTCAACAACTTTCACCATTCTCTTGTCCCTCCTTTGGACACTGACTAATAGCTTCATGTCTTTTTTATACTGCAGTGACCAAAACTGCCCCCAGCACCCGAGATGAGGCTGCCCCAGTGCATAGCAGGGTGGGACAATCCCCTCCCTTGCCCAGCTGGCCATGCTGTGCCTGATGCCCCCCAGGACATGAGTGGCCCTCCTGGCTACCAGGGCACTGCTGACTCAGGTTCAGTGCAAAACATAAGGGAGGGAGTCAAGAGATGGAGCTGCACTCAGGAGTCTGCATCACTTTACGGACATTGCTGTGTTACAGCTAGCAACCAGAGATGGAGGTCTGTATGGTTTCTATTATATTGTCCAAAACAACACCAGAAGATAAAAAGACACAGCTGTGAAGTACACTGGAATGGGGTTTCACAAAAATAACTCTAGTTTCATATCTCAGCTAGGTCATGCTCGCACAACAGGAATGAACATTTTGTAATTGAATCAACTGAACCAGACTTGTACAAACAAGGCCTGATAAAGTTTAAGTTTTGTCTGACAGTTTCCAATGTTCAACTGAAGCTTTTTCTAAGAATTTCTTATTCCTAGATATTATTAATTTTTCATGAGTCTTCTGATGACCTGTGAGTACATAATGGGAGACTAGGTGATTGAAATTAATTCTTGTGTCCAGTTTGGAATTTAATTACCTTGGTTTCAAACACTGAATTGTAAATGTACTGAGAGTATGCTACTCCAAACACTAATTATACTATTTCTAAATCGTTCTAGGACATTTCACTTTGTTCATATACCTTATTTACAAATGTTTCCAGGGTTTTAAGCAGTTTAACTTAAATTAAGTTAACAGTAAAGACTAAGCCTAAAGGTCACACATGTCAGTGTGATCAAAGTCTCTCTGTTCCTAAATGAATATGGAATTCAGTGCAACATAGCAAATACAATGAAATCAGTGCTGCCAATTGATATAGACAAACAAATCACTGCCTGGGAGAAGGTCTGTAGGCACAAGACCCAATGATTCCTTTCAATGTCATCCCACACTTCTGACTAGAATTTCCCAAAAAAATAAAAAAATCTCCAATCCACATTTTACCCAAAACAAGAAAAATTAGTCAAAATCAATACAGGAGGATGATATGAATGCAGTAATCCATCTATCATTAAAACACCTACAGACCGTCTAAGCAGAACTTCACTTTTTTTTCATGTCTAGAGTGGCATCCTTAAAGTAAAGATTTTAGATAGATTTTCTAGGGGGAAAAGCCTCCACAAACCAGAAAGCAAATGAAAGAAGAAAAAACTAGTTCAACATTTAAACTGAGACATCTTGCTGCCTATAGTAATAAAGTATAATATAATAAAATATAATCTCTCAGGTTCCCTAGAAAAAATATGCATATTTAAATTTTTGGGGACAAGGAAGGGCTTAGGGGTGAACAACTGCTGGAAAAATATTCACTGAACTAAAGGTAAGAAGAGGAAAAGTGCTGATGTATCCCAGAGGCTCTTCCATTTCCTGTTGTCACTATAGGAAAGGATAAGAACTGAGAAGGTTCCTGACGGCTGCTGGCTGGCTTTGTATAGTCCCTGGTGTTTCACTGCTTCAGTCTTGGGCCCAGCAAGAGTTTTCTCACTCAGGTATCTGTACCAGTTACTAGCAGTAAGACCAGAAAGACTCAGCAGCAGCAACTCTCTTCTCTCTACAGGAAAGAAGAAGTGGAATAGAATCAGATTTAAAAAAAAACAAACCACCCCTCAAGCCATCTGTCCATCCACCCTGAGAAAAATCTGTGCAAGGAGCAAGCAGATACTTTTCTGCCTAAGAGAATAAGCAGATTTTCTAAATTTAAACACTTCTGACAGCATCATAGTTCATATAGCTGTGTTGAATGAATGAGACTATAAATCTGCCTGTGGCCATATCTGAGAACTCTCCTGCAAATGGCCCATGCCTGTGTTAGTTGCCTCCTTCAGCTGGTGGAAGTGGGTGGCTGTGTGCAACTTGCCTGTTGGAGTGGCCTCTGCAATGGCCAAAATTTCCAAAATTACCAGAATGCTCTAAAGGTTTGGGGCAGAGAGGACCATGGCCCACAAGGGAACATTCCCAGGCACAGCTTAACTATTGCTGGTAGTTACACAACAGTAATGTCTTTTTAAACTAGCATTCTATACCTTCCTTTTCCAAGAGGCAGTTGCAAGTGACCAGCAATCCTGTAACTAACAAAAGGTGCTTACAAGGAAAACAAGAGGTGTTCACTTCATTGAGCTGCAGGTTTTTGGGGGGTACCTAAGGAGCAAGCACATCTCAATAGTATCACAAAGACAGATACCTTAACATGGACTCCCTATACCATCTTATAATTTTGCTTTATGGAACTTTGTGTAACAACCCTTGAAAAGTCTCAAGATCTAACACACAAGCACATGTACTGCAAACAGCCTCTTACCAACTGTATTTGCATTCATTGTTACTCCTTAACCTGAAACCTCAGGTTTAAATAACTGTCAGTTGATATTATCAATGTTTGGTTTATGAGTCATTCAGCCAGCACAATGGGCCTAGGAAGAAAACAGCACCTTTACACACATGCCCAAATTTTTCTGCTACCATGGGAAGCTGGAGAAGCAGAGAGAGGGCACAGGAAAAAAAGATTTGTAGCCTGAACAAAAATATATGTCCCAGCCCAGAGTCCTACCTGTTAGGCACACATAAACTCATAAATCAAGTCATGAACAGAACAGCAGGAAAACAGCTCTGGGGCACTAGGCCAAATACTTTGGTATAGTTTCAAGTTGCAGCAAGAAACTTTCTGCTAAATTGCTTCCTATTTAAATTTGCTCCTTTGCATAAACCACAGATTTCTATAAGATGTTATTTGTTTGGGTTTTTTTCCCATCAGTGAGTCTCTAGAAATTTGAAAATAGGGGAGGGAGAGAAAAATCACTGCTCTGGATTTGGTTTTATACAAAGGTCATGCAAAGAAGGAAATGTCTGCCCTCCCACATACACATGCTAAGGACAATTTTGCTAAAATTATCCACTGGTGGAAAAAGCACAAAATCGAGTTGTTCTCATGAGTCTTTCTCTTTTCAGCAGAATTCTGCACCATCTCAGAACTCAGCAGACTCAGCCTTGCCTGATGCTGAGCACCTCATCTGGCCACTGGCTCCAACAAAAGCAACAGAGCAAGGCACAGTTACCAGTCTCAGATTGCACAGATACGCCCAGACTGGAATCATCTGGGATGCATTAGACTGGGAAATCTCTCGTCTGTGCTAGCATACTTGCTTTTTATTCAGGGCAAGTGTCATTGAAACAAGATTTATATGTTAGACTGCACTGATAAAATTGTGTCAGAATCTGGGTTGGTCACTCTTATCTCTATATTAAAATTAAATATTCCTATTAAAACTTGCCTTGGCTTTTGTTGCACAAGGTAAATAAAAAGCTATTTGTTTTATTTAAGGTGGTGAATTGCAGATATCAGAATAAAACATAAGGACGGGGGTGGAAAATTTTGCATTATGGCATTAGGTGATTCATTATGTTTTATCTATGCTACAAAATAATTTTCATATTCTCTGTAAATTTTTATAGCTTCTAAACCTGATCACAATTTCAACAGTAGCAGACCAAAACTGGTATGCAAATACTGATTTCCTATCTTAGGTTCAGGTCTTGCTAGCAATTGTTCAAGTACAAGTATATTAGATTTATGAGTGTTTACCTTATCTGCATCCTTTATTCAGAGATGTGGACCCTTAACTACACCTTTATGATGCCTGGTTAATGTTCAGGGCTTCAACCCCTTTCTTGTATTTTCCAGCATTTCCTTGCTTCAGCCAAATCAAAGCCATAGGCAGCACTGCAATACTCAAATTTTTGCCAGACAAAAAACAGCCTCAGAAAGTTCCCTGGCCTCCCTGTGTGGTCAGCTGGAGCAGGCAGACCCTTCCCAGGGGGACTTATTTTCACCATCACCACCCTCACCTCTCCAAAGTAACACACATGGGAAGAATTGTCCTTTAGACATGTCTATTTAGTCTCATTGACTATAGACAGGGCTTAGGTGACTAAATGCATTTCTCAAAATAGGCAAGATGAATCTGTTACTGGAACTTAAGTCTGAGGGAAAAAAAAAAAAAAAATTAAAGGAAAAAATTACCTTCAATAAGAACATGAGTGCCTTTTCCTTTAAAAGCCCTAGTGTGTGGATCCCATGGGATCATACACCCACTGGACATTCTGCAACTGCCCTGGCTTCCAGTTATTTTTGGTGCAGGTCTTGGCATTAATTTTTGACCTTCTGGAGCCCTCTGTGTGTTAGGTAACACAGCTCCCTCACTTTCCCCAAAATGCACAGGAAAGTAAAGCAGGAAAGTGAAAGCAATAGCAACATTCCATCAGGCAGGGAAAGAGTTAAAAATACAAGGAGCAGGAAAGCTGCCTTTCTTTAGGACCTCCTACAGTTTCAGTCGCTTATTAAAAAAGGATTTATATTTCTGAAGTAAGGATCTGTGCTTCCTCCCTCTGCTGAAGCCCTGCGTTTCTCTGCCAGGCTCTGATGAACAGGGCCCTCCCTTGCCCATCGCCAGCCAATGCTGACGTCATCCTGTTATTCTTTTTCACCTTGCACACATGTTGAGGCTTCTCTGTGGAAGTCTTGCTCAGACACACATCTCTTTGTCTCTTGTTTCTCTCTGCTCAGGAGGGCTTTTTTTTAATCTCAGATTTCTTTTGCACATAGCTCGAGCAGAAATATTTCTGGGATTTCTGAGAAGGAGGACCCATAAATGAAAATAATGCTGTTCACTAATGGCATCCAACCATCCATTAAAGCCAGAAGTCATTTCTTTGAAGAGGGTGCTGTGCAGAGCTCCAACTAGGAGGTCTTGCTCATCTCTTGTTTGAAAACTCAGACACTGTACCTAACTACAACTGACCCAAGCAGGCAGGTCAGGAGAATGGGCCCCTTTCACGTCACAGCAGGGTTTGGTAGGTGGATGTGGAATCAGACGCAGGGTGATTTAGCTGCAAGAGACCTCTCTCCCTCATGCATTTCTAGAGTAATGCTGCAAAGGCTCAGTGTCTCACAGCACTTCTTCCTATTGGAAGGGTGAAAAGCAGAGGCTGTATTTAAAGACATGGCTAGGGATTATCTAGATTTTTACCTGCTGGTGTGCATTCTTGGCTGATCTGTGCATGTCAAGCATACATGGCGGCAAAGGAACTCCTGCAGCCACTTCCCTTTGCCTGGCCAGGTCACTTCCATGCACCCCACTCTGTTCTCCCAGCAAAGAACAAGTCTTTCACAAATGGGCATCACCATCATTCGCCAGAGGAGGTTGATCTTATGGGCAACAAGAGCTCTGCACAGCAAAGACACAGTAAGCACTGCAGACCACTCCCAAGTTCACTTCAGATATGACACATGTGTAGCCACAGGCTTTCCTAGTGGGAAAGAGAAAATTGGATAGCTGTATGTTATGTACCTCTGAGGTTTTTAGAATGAAGAGAATAAAGTGAAACAAGATTAAGAGGCACATTAGGCCATCTCTGACAAATCTTTTCCACTTATTAGAGTCTCCTACTGTGCTCCTGGGAGCTTCTGAACCCCTGAGGACTCCATGATGAGGCTAAAATTTGCAGCCAGAAATGGCACTGTTTTTCTGTGCAAAGCTGAGCTATCAGGGTATCAGTGCATCCTGTTGCTACTGATACTGTAAGCAGAAGACAGGAACAGTCGATCTTTTGTTTATCAGCCCTCTACAGTGTACAACCCCTTTGTGAATAGTAAGCCACCTTTCTGCAGCTCTCATATGGTGCAAAGCAACATTTTCAAATCAACTTAGCTAAACTGAACCTGCAATCAATCGATATCAGTGAGGAAAAATAGTCCTAGTAAGAAAAATATCTGTACAAGGAAATTCTGAGAAGCATGGTGCAAGAATAAGTTAAACCAGGGAGGACATGTTCTTTCTAATAAATGCAAGTTACTTTTGGCTGGTCTTCACATCTCAGATTTACTGCTCAAATTACGCAATCATTGTATTGCCTTATCATGGGCTCATATGAAGCTGTGCTTACTCATGCTTGCAAAGCATTTAAAGATTAGAGAGCAGGGTCTGTAAAACCATAAAGAATACTTTGTTATCATTGTTATTCAACCAGAGGAATAGGGAAATACGCTTTAAAATGCTTCAGTTCGTTAGTTCATAACTATCTTTTAGCTGTTAAAAGCAAAAATCAGCAAGCTGCATGGTAGCAGGTTCAGACCTCATTCATCTCAATGTAGGCCTACTTGTTCGTCTCTACCACAGGCGGTAATTACTTTTGACACTGCTTTTAACAAAAAGGTAAGTAGATGTAGAGGTGAAGGTAAGAAGTAGATGTAAAGTAAAAGCAAATTAATCTGGGACTCATCCTGAAACATCTGTCCCAAAATGTTACCCTCTAGCCTACATCCCAAGTTACTGTCCTTCTTCCTGCGTAAGCTTTTGGGGTCTCATTAATGCACCAGGCAAAGGGCTGATAGAGATCCTGAGGTAGCTTTGAGGAAACTGACTTGTCTACATGGTACATTGCGATGCCATGCACGGATGCTAGCTTAGATCCCAGAGGCAATATAGCAAAGCACCCACGCTAATTAGCCCTGCCCCTGAGGATGCTGCAGGAATGGAGCTGATTAGGTATGCTGAGAGGTACCTCTGTTAATTAGCCCAGGGAGAACAGAACAACACCAACAGAGCTTCTGATCACAGCATTAGCCCAGCGATCTCTATAGTGTACTTGGCTGTGCAGCATAGCTGAGCCCAAAGCTCTCTTGAGCACCATCCGAAGAATCTAAATACCTTCTTTCAAGCCAGTCTCACCATCTGACCCTGCTTTTGCAAGTATTCATAGCTGTGTTTTTCTCTTGATGGTAGGAAAGTTAAGTAAATAGATTCAAAAGAATGAAGGAAAAAAGCCAGTAAAAACCACACTACAATAATCTAGTGTTATTAAATTCAGCTACAGGTAGTAACATGCCTGTAGGGAAGCACTGGATATTCCTAACCCGTCTTGATAAAAGGCATACTTTGGCTAGTGGTGCATGTTTTGCAAGCAGTGTATCTCTGAAGGTACTGTTAACTCAAGCCAACACAGTCACAAACACAGACTATGATATACTGAGTTGTAGCCATGCAAGATTTTCCATTACTAGTTCAGGGCTGCATGAAATCATTTAGGTGCAGGTATGCGCCTAGGAAAGATGGGCAAGAGTTTTGTCCCCTTCCTTCTCCCCTGGTTGCACCATGCATTTGGACAGGGCTGTTCTGGCTGGCTCTCCTGCCTGCAGCAGACCCCGGCTCACCAAGGATCACTGTCTGTACCGTGCACAGCGCACATAAGGCTCGAGCCAGCGCCAAGCACCGCACACAGCTATGCCTCGGACTCCCAGGGTTACTATACAACAGCACAGGGGTAAACAATGCTCTGTCTCCGCTACAGACAGCACACACAGGAAGATAGTGATGTGACTATTGTTAAGGGAACGCTTCCAAATGCCTTTCCAACCACCATATCATCGTAGGTACGCATAGAAATGCTGAGTTTATGCCTTCCAGAGAGAAAATGTGCGTGCTTTGTGCCATTCCAGGAGGAGGGTTTATGGTTCTTATTTTTGAAAAATGGAGCACAGTGATTTCCAATTACCTTCTAGGCATGTGCGTAGAGACACCCATTTCTTTCCTGTATGTTTCAGAAGAATGTTTTTGCACGTGGGTAACTTCTGAGTAGGACATAAGCCCTTAAGTCCCAGTTTGAGTTCTTGATAAAAATGCAAAAAATGCATGGTGAAGTTTTAAATCAGCTTCAAAACCTTATAACATGAAGCTGCTGGAACAATTGAGAAAGCCAAAACTTTTAAGTGGATATTAGTAAAACATAAATATCAGAGAAGGCAGAGGCTTCTTCAGGAATTAATGTGGTTGCAATAGAGATAATATTTAGGTTTCTTCTAAAGATTGCTACGTTTTAGGTATATAAAAGAAAAAAAATTCTGGCTCTTATCTTTCAGATTCCCCATAATTTTCTATTATGGTATGAAGGTGGGGGAGGTGCTTGTAATATATCTGAAAATCAGAGTTCAGTATTTAATATTTACTTCTTATCCTTTAGAAAAAAAAATCTTAAAGGTATGGTTTATGTAGCTTTATGATACTTGTCAAATAATATGGTGTTCTATAGCATTTACTAACGCAAACTGGGTTATCTCACACAACCTTGACTTAACAACGGGTTCTGGATGTATACCAGACACACAAGATGGTCATTAACTTGATATGATATGGGAAAGGTGTTGAAGTGAATAACTTATATAGTAGTAATAGTGGTTCTGTCTATGGACATTTTATCTTGCTATTGAATGGCAAAAAAGATACTTTAACTTGCCTTGTCTCTGGGCAACTTTAGAGTGACCTAGAGACTTCTCAGTTTCAGAGTTCAAAATTGGCCCCTCCTTCTATACTTGTCCAGTGTTTAGACCAAAGCTGTAGTACATCACAGTGTCTCACAGAGACCTAAAAAATAGAAGAGACTGAAATCCTAGGCAGGAGCATCCCATAACTCTATAAAAGTCAATGCTGTGTCCCAAAATAATGAAAATACCCAACTCTGTTTCCAGCTGTATAAATAATTCAGATTTTCAGCTTTACTGCCAGAACTTGGCTAACACCCTTCACTTTGTTTGTCCAGTTTTACATCTACCAATAACCATTTCCTCTACTTCTATCTATTCAAAACAAAACCTGAAGCACAAGGATTATCAACTCCCAAAACCTCTTGTGCACAGACAGATCCACAAGGTCTCTGTCAATGAACAACAGCTAATCTTCCATTCTCATTATACTGGCACATAAATCTTCTGAGTGACCAGGGAAACAAGAAGCCTGCTACCCTCATAACATTCCTTGCGTGCCTGCTGAAGGCCATTGTGTCTATAGATCGCTCATGACTCCCAGAGACACAGAGTTAAGAATAATTCAAGAGACATAAGAAGGACTAGGAGGGAAGGATAACCTACACATAAACTTTGCCAAAACATCCTCAAAACTAATTGCTTGAGGTGGTTATGAAAATGAAGAAAAAAGCCTGTAATGCTTATCAGTCTTATTTCTCAAAGGCTGAGTAGCCTTAGTATAGTTTTACAGGTCATAAAAAAAAAATAAATAAAGTTGTGGTTAATATTAGAGCTCATAATTTTATTCAGTTTGAGAGCCCTTCAAGATTTTCTAATGGAGGTGCTACATGGACAACAGTTCCACTTTTTTTGAGGTACCCTGCACCGACCTCTTCCAATTATCCACAGAAACTAGAGGTACAGCTGACAACAAGCTGACATTCCCAGAGCTACAAAGTCATCTGTGAGACAGAAAGGTCAGTCGAGTAGCCAGAAGTGTGTCTGGGGTGTAAACATGGTTATTTTGCAAAAACAGCACGGTCCAGATCTGCCTGACGTGTCCATACAGGCATGGCCAATGCCTTTTGTGCAAATAGGCATATATGTGCAATTTCATATGAAAAAGCATAAACATCTATCTGCCCTCCAAACTCCTAGAATATAAATAGTTTGAGTGACAAATACTTCTGTCACAGTGTTCAGGATACCTTCAAAAGATATTCCCAGCACTGTATATGATTAACCAAAGCCTGGCAGAGTTCACCCTTATAAATATATCCTGGATAAGCCTGTTGATTTGAACAAGAATTTATGTGTCTGTGTCTAAAGGAAGAAGAGAAGAAACAGGAAGGTTGGTCATGTCAGTCACTTGAATAAATTTTTCAAGCTGAGTGGTAGAATTTAATATCTATGTTTTGACAGTAATAAGAGTATTGAATTCCTAAATGTTGTGTATTACATTGCACAACAGGTTTTATCACAGAAAAACTGAGTAGTCTTGATGAATGAAGTTTCACATAGGTTACTGTTGAAAAAAAATTAGGCATTATTTGCATAGATTGCATTAAGTTGATTGTTTCCCACCCCTCCCAAGTATCTCAGTACCTTAGAAATAAATTATAGTCAGAGGGCTATTAAAATAAAATTTTAAAGAAGTCCTGAAGTAAATTTCAAATCACAAGACAAAGCAAACAGTACTGTAGTCTATTTTCAGACCTCCTCAAAGTTATTCATATTTGAGTTGTCAAACAATCATACAACTCCCAGACATCTTTTTTTCCCCTGAAATCCTGTTATGGATTCTTCCACAGACAGATTAAATTATTTCTTCTTCAATATGTTAAGAAAGAAGAAAGAAGCAACCGTGCTTAAGTCACATGTGTTTCTCTTTAAGAAAAAGGGTCTCCACAGTTCAACAAGGCAAATAGTTCTCTGTAAATGAAGTCATGCTGAGATTTTTAAAGCACCTAGGATTAGCAAAGTAGTATTGGTAACAATGTCATTGTCACACAAGCTAGAAATACTGCTTCTCACCCTGTTTTTTAATTCCAGCCTTCCTGGGACAGTGTTTCAACCTGTTCAAACCACATTCTTTGCTAAATTTACAACTGTGTTGAGAAACACGTCACTACAGAGAAGCACAAGGAAAGCTGTGCAAAATACTAAGGTTTTAAGTGCCCTTTCAAAAATATTTGTTGTCATTCTGACCCAACTGGAAGAAAAAGGGAGACGAAACATTTGCAATAGCAGCTTGCCTCAGTTGGTAGAGCCTGAATATGAGATTTTGCCTGGTTTATTTTAAGTCTGAGCAGCTAGCAGCTGGAGTATGTCCCACATGCTAACACTTGGAATTCCCCAGGGAGAAGGTTTGTTTCAAATGTACACGCCAGCCCTCCAAAGCTGGTTGTCTTTGCGCTTTATTAAGTTTACGTACTCCATCCTTGCCTCAAGTTTCAATGGTAATGGACCTATTCTGAACAAGTGAACATTCTTGCCAGCTTCACATGGACTGGTTTTGATTTAAATGCAATCTATGAACAATATCTACTTGCACACACATACACACCCCAGGCAGATACTGAACAGACACAGCCTTGCAGACTTACACAGCAGCTGTGACAACAACTGATGTCACCTCCTTTGCAGAAGTTTCCACAAGCATCTTCCAAAGGCCAAGTTAAATGAGATAGAGCTTATCAGTTTCTTTAAAGTGCTCTGGATGAGACCAGTCCATGTGACCCCCTTCCTGGCTGCGGGGGTGTGGTATGTCACAGTTCCCCTATCAGCTGGCACATGGTGGTGGGAGATATGAGACAGCAGAAAAGTAGTAGTAACAACATCACCCAGGCTGCCGAAGACAGAGAGAATACGCTGAGTAACTTCAGTGTGTGCTCACTTACTTTCTGAAAACAGGTGGAGGGTTTTCAGCCCTGACTTCTGCTTGCACATCCCACTCGGCACAGATGGGTGATTATGTTGCCAGCTATGCTTTGGAAAGGCTATGGTTCGTTAGCGTCATATTAACACCTTTAGCAGTGAGTTGCAATATTTTATTTTTTTTTCTTCAAGAACTTTTCCCTTTTTTTAGATATTCTGTGACTAAAAAAGAAATTACTAGTAAGGATATTTTTCCAAAAGCAATTGCTTAAGATAAATTCCTTGCCTCTGTTTTTGCAACGGAAAGATTAGAAAATTTCAGAAAGTACCCTCCTCAGTTTTGCTGCTAAAACTATTGAATGTTTCAGGCTTCACTGCCTTTAATTATTAATAAATGATCAGTTGTAAAGAGTTCATTTTTAAAGCTTCTTGGAATGATTACTTTTATTCAAAATATCAAGTAGCTAATAACATAGTAACAGGAACAAATACATATTTGAAAAACAGCTCAATACCTCCAATACTTGGTAGAACAAAAGGATTCCTTACTGAAAGTAATTTTAAAACACAGCCATAGTATTGAACATCATATTCAGCAGCTTGCAGTTTTCACCCCAGGCCTCACCCAGTTTCTCTACATGAGCCTGTTAGCACAGAGGACAGCCTTAAGCTCTTACCCCACGCTAGTTATCATATTTTGGTTAACAAATGTTGGTAATGCAACTTTTTTCTTTGTGAATGTGCCCTTTCAATTTCTGAATTCAAATTCTTGCACCAGCATAGTTACAGTCGCTCTAGATCACTTGGGCACGTCCCTTGTAAATCATGCTATTGGTGCAAGACCAACTGTTTCCAGAATACAGCAGTGCAACATATAAATTCCGTGTCTAGAATAATAGTGAAATGTAAGTATACGGTATATATAAGTACTCAAGAATTTCTGGCAACAGCACCAAGATAAGCTGAAATTCAGTCTTATGCTACATTCCCAAGCTCCTTCTCCTAGCCCTGCTACTGAGTGTGGAATGACAAAAGTTTGGGAATTTTAAATCAGATTTTTTTGCAGTTTGCTCCAATCTTACTGCAATCTCACACCTGTTAAGAATCTCCCAGACTTGTCTAGCCAGTTCACATTGGATGAAAAAAGCTAGCTTGTCTTCACCCATTTCCTCTTTCAAAGTTAAGTGTTTGCAGATAGAAAAATAACCTTTCTAGGGCACAGACAGCCTCTCCTATTTCAACTGTGGTGTACCCAGCTCAAAATTGTGGCTGGAACCTGGATGTTAATGTCACCTTAAATAATAATATTTTTTCAGGTGCTGGCCAGAGTTTTAAGAGATAGTTCCAGCAATGAGCATATCAGAGCAGCCAAGACACAGCTGCTCGAAAAGCAACGTGCAGCGGTTATATATGCAATGAAAAAAGGCCTCCTTCAAGGAAACTATTGAAGACAGCTGCAGATCAGTCCTCCTCAGGGTTCATTAGCTTTTTTCATCTTCTGTAAGCCAGCCCTGGGCATGACTTTAGAGGATGATTAAACCAAAAATTTGTGTGTCATTGCACCCTCTCCAACTCCAGCTGCAACATTTTATTCATGAAAGCCTTAGGATCCAAGATCCAGGATAGAAGCCTTCCTATCTCTGTACTTCCTTGGCATGCTGGCTACAATTGCTGCTCCCACCACCACCTATGTCTGAACTGTGATTGGTTAAAGACCCTAAATCCTTGCTGGAATTGTATAAACAGACACATGGATTGACAGCCACCTAAAATCTCTGGTGACCCCTGGACAGACAAAAGACCTTTCAGTATTCTCCCCAGCAAGTCTTTCACAAAGGTAGAGTGAATATTGTGCCCAAGTTCACTTCCTCTTTATGCTATAGGGATGCTCTAAATGGTTCTGTTATGTGTAGGACAGATACATATTTATATGTAATTCTGACCATACAGATGGTGAGATGCCAACTATGAATCAACAGAATTTACAAAGTTTTGCCAAAGGCACTCATAACTGTGAGTTGCACACATGGGTGCTTTAAGTGCTAAAAAAGGCCCTACTTTCTTCACACCTGAAATATGGGTCCATAGCCCTTACACCTACAGCATTCACAAGCCAGTGCATGGTAGCCCATGCACAGTGATTTTAAATTTGAAATGCAGACACATGACCTCAGATTCCATTCATAAAGGGCTATCTGTATTGCAATGTTTGAGACTTACGTGTGCAAACATAGCAGAGGCACTAAGGGCTTATATGAAAAAATAATTATTCCATGTAGAAAGGAAGTTGGTTTGCTTTGAGCAGAGGTGTTAAGAGACTAAACATTTTCCCCAACACCAACCTGAAAATATGAAAACTGTATTTATTTGAGGTGGGTATCATATCCCACTCATGCTAAATGTCTTGCTGCATTTCAGACTAAGATAGTCATTAATGGGAATACCAGTTATAAGAGTCATTTAATGAAAAATAAACCCGGGACAACTGTGCTGCAATTTTAGTAATTTGGGGGCAGAGGCGTGCAGATCATAGCTAAATTTAAAATTTAAAAGAGTAGCTTCAGGATAGACATCTTCCCCCCTTCCACCAGGTTCAGGATAGTTTATAAGAGCTGGATCTTGAATGACAGTACCAAAACAGGGACTTGGCACAGAGAGGACTTGCTTCAGCTGAGAGATATGCCACAGTACAGACAAAACCATCAGCAACTAGAACAGTGGAAAGGGTGGAAAGACTACAAAGATCTATGATGAAAAAGGTATTTAGACCCCTCTCAAAGGCAGCATTATTTTGTTACCTAAACAAGGTTTCTTCTTCTCCCCATCTCAAATATATTTCAATTGCAGTCAATGGTAACTCCCAAGCAGTGGCAAAAATGACAATACTTGCATAGACATGGCATTATTAAATTAAGCACAGGACCACTGGTTGCTCTAGCTGTGCCTGGGTAATGTTTCCCCAGCCACTCTTCTCCTTCCATTAGCAGAAAATTATTTTCTCTGCCAGCATAAGCATGCACCTAAGTAGGCTCCTAACCCTATCAAAAGTAGTCAGGCCTGAAATTTGGGAAGACAAAAACCTACAGGAAGTGTTTAAACTAAGCCAGACCCTTCTGAGGGAACCAAGCATTATGCCTATATATACCTATAGGCTGGGTGGGATCCCAGGAACACTGAGGGTGTGGGACAATCTTCTCACCTGCTTTCCTTCCAGCTGGAAATGAAATAGGAACAAGCTAGAAATCACTTCATCAACAGCAATAAAATGTGTCTAGGAGAGAGAAAAGTGCTGTTGATGCAAAGTGGGCAACAATGACCAAGAACTCTTGTTCTCCCAGCAAATCTCTTGTACCTGGGGGGATGCAGGACTAGTACAGATGGGCAAGACCTCAAACTCTGCATCTCCTTCCTTGCAGTTTAAATATATAGATGCTGCTTCTTCCTTCTGAAGTTCTTTTGGATATGCTTTGAGTAGGACTAGGAAAAGATAAGCTTTGTTGTCTCAGATTGGATACACTCTTCCTTACTTTTTTTTTCCAGCCTAAAGGGGTTTAGATAAGGGGTAGTTTCTAAGGTCATTGGAAAGAAGACAAAGCTTCTAGGAGACTCAATGGAAGATGTGGCTTGCCAGCTGCTAATCTGTGTGGCAGAGGCTCCCTGGACATCCATACCTCAGCAGAAGCCCTCCCATAACTCTTTCTCTCAGGACACTATTTTCCCTAGTGTTAGCATCGCTGCAATAAAATTAAGATATGATATAAGATCCAAATTAGATAAGGAAAAAAAGGGGACTTACAGCATCTACCCCTAACTATGTAACTCTTAACTCTGCTTCTATTAATTGATCCATCTGCTTCTCAGAACTGGAATTGTCTGCACTCAAAGGAGGACCTTGCTTTTGCTCTAGGCACTCTTAGGGAGAGTGCCTAGAAAAAAACTCTAAAATAAGGAAGTTGCAAGGCTTCTTTATGGAGATGCACAACATAATTTCTCACCAAGTCCAAGGCAGATTTTTCCAGGCCATTTCATAAGATGTTGGAGTGCTAACACGTGGTATGCATGAGCACCTTTTATATATATCACACACACCTACTTGCCTGGAAGCAAATCAATAACTCCCTACACCAAAGCTTGCATTTGTTTGCTCTTATTAGAGGTGGAATGGTGCCTGAGGGAGGGCCATAGGCATTCCATTACTTAGGATCAGTGCCGGAGCAAAATAGAAAGCTGCTAAAAATAAGCAACATTTGCTCATTGGTATAAATAACAAAAGCAAGAGAGAAAGAAAAACAGAAAGACAAGATGAAAATTAAAACTGGCCCCAGACCAGGCCTTGCAGAATAACCAGTCACCTCCTCATTGCCAATTCTCTCACCATCTCCACTATGGGCAAGATACTTTCTACTGCCAAGTGCCCTCAGCGTCTTTCCTGAGAGGACCATCACTTGCAGATTCACAGTGGGCCTGAGCATAGGCGATAGCTCCCACAGCACCTCACAAAATACCACTGTGATCCCTGTGGTAGCCTGTGAAGTATTTGTTTTATCTCTACTCTGTCTATTAAGGGTATTACGGAGGGGGTGGGAAAGGGAAAAAGCTGCACTTCCATAAGGCTATCATCATTTAAAACTTTATCCTCTCTTTATTAAAATAGAAATAACTTTTGGATTCAAATTTTTCTAACAGACTTCCTGAGCAAATAAGTCCCAGAGCACCCTTGGCTGCCTATTTTTAAGTACAAAGGTTGAGAAAGCTAAGCCTTATCTATACTTGGAGGAAAATAAGAAGACCAAGCTAATTAAAAATTCAAAGCAGAGTATACTTCTGGTTACTTTTTCCTTTTATTGTCTCATTAAT